AAACAATGTAAATTACATGGTATTCGCGTGTTGCGCACGTACTTACCCCCTTCCCCCCCCCCCCACCCCCCTGCCAACCCGAATCCCAAAAGTGGCACGCCTTCCACGGCGGCGAAAAGCTCGAAGGCCCAAAACTACCGTTCAGTTGTGCTCTTTAAGAACCCTTCTGAACCGTCAGCAGGGTGCGACACCTGGACAAGACAAGTCCACTTCGTGCTGTAGTAGCACGCCATGCCTATTCCCAGTAACAACTCACTTGATACAATCATTGTATGCTATGAAACGTTTATGAGCCGCTAAACCTGAACCCTGAAGCCGAACTTCTGGTGTCCATTTGGTTTTCCATCATTCCTGTTTGGTTATCCACTATTCGGATTACTTGGGCTCCAAAGCTGTAAAACCTGAGCAATGTATCAGTTTGCATTTCATGTTCTTGCTTCCTTTCCATCTGGTTCTCCATTACGCCAATCATCTAACCCTCATACCCCAAGCTCTGAATAATGCAGCACTTTCAATTTGATGATCCATCGCTTTTTCCTACACCCTATATATATATATGTATATATATGTATATATGCTTCCTTTCCATCTGGTTCTCCATTACGCCAATCGTCTAATCCTCATTCCCCAAGCTCTGAATAATGCAGCACTTTCAATTTGATGATCCATCGCTTTTTCCTACACCCTATATATCCTTAGAAGCCCCCAGTTTCATTGTCACGTTCCATTCTATTCTCCAAAACCTATATATAGTCCTCCATAAGTAGATATAATGTGGGGTATATGGTCTCTTCTTATAACATACCCAAAGCCATATTCTATCTACTTAAGGGGAACGATAAACCCTAAACGTTCCTGTCACTTGGGGCCAAAGCCTGGTGGTACATCGGAGGGAGGTCCGGATGAGGAACCGCCATGAAGCTGGTAGGCGTCACCTGCTCTCAGCTGCTTTCCGACTTTACCACTAAGGCCTAAGCTTCGGCCTAAACTGGGTTGCTGTTCAGGAACTTATATTAAGTTGCCATAATATGGGTATATGGTAAATAATAGGGTCTCCTTGTTATAGTAGCGTAATTTAAGTTCCTGAACAGCACCCCAGTAACGTGGTCCTATTGGCACACAACCCTTAATAACTTCTTTGAGCCCGCAGGGGTCTAAGATCCGGGTAGCTGTGAAGTTTAGGCTCTTTCGTTGGTGCGGATGGCCGGGGCTCTGGCCTCATAAGTTCGTAGGATAATAGGACTATAATAGGACCCTAACATAATCCTTATTATCCCTTATCTATTACAGGGTGGGGGGGGGTCTTCCTAATCAGTGAAGGCATGGATGGGTGCTTGAAAGGCCCCAGGCCAATTCTGGGCACCGTGGGGGCCTAAATGATTACCAACATCATTCTGAGGTCTATTTGATGTACCCTGTACTACAATTATTCAATTATACAAGGAATCCGGGACCACAAAATTTGTAATTATTCTGGCCCCTAACCCTGAACCCCTATAGTGCACAACAAGAGCTTCATGCAAGGGTTTGGCACTTAAAGGCCACGAAAAGAGCAGAAGCAACCGTTTAGATAGGGATCTCCCATTGTCAACCCCTCTGTACCAAGCCCCCAAAAAATAGGGATATACCCCAAAAGCTTCTGCCTGGGGATTTTTGACCTACCCCCTAAACCTCTAAGAACAGCAGATAAATGGCCCCATGGCACCTGGATGTTCCCATCAGGGCCTGGAGACAGCTGCAGGAACGCACCCTGCCGGGTCAGGGACTCAGATACAAAAGACAAAGATTTGCGCACTCTGCACAGTTATTTCTGCCGCAGTTTTCGCAGCTGACGGATTCATGCAGAAAACCGCAAAATCTCAAGTTCCTAAACCCTTGGTGCCTTGTTGCCTCCGGTGTCCAGGTAATTGGGAGCGCTGAAGACGCTCCTGAGCGTCGGTTCATTGGAGCTACAGCCAATATGTCCTGCATAGTTTCATGGACACGGGCGGACTATTTTAGGGACTCTACTAAACTAACACCCTAAACCCTAAACCCCTAAAGCCCTAAAGCCCTAAAGCCCTAAACCCTAAACCCCCAAACCCACACTTTCAATTTACACTACGTGTGCGCGTGGCTGAGTTCCGGATTGCACTTCTGAGCCCAGTTGCATCAGCGACGGGTGGTCCTGCAGGGGGTTTAGGGTTGAGGGTTTATATAGGGTTTAGGGTTCAGG